CCCGCCCTTGCTCCCTTCTCCCCCTCCCCAGGTGAGCACTCTTTCTGCCCGCCGCTGGTAACGCAAAGCCTCCCGCACCGCGGCAGCCAGCAGTGGGGTTCTCGCTCGCTCTGCGGTTCCTCGCGTGAAATCATCACGCTGTGCCCTGGGCTGACGCAGCTGAGGAGCAGCTGAGCTTCCCCTGCAAAAGGACAGAAAATACGGCCCGTAGGAAAGTCGATTAAAGTAGCACGACGCCTTCCGAAAGCAAAATTAACTGCCTCTGTATTTTTCTTTAAAAGGAGTAGCTCGACATCAGCAATATTACATTATTTTTGTGGTATTCCTCTCCCCCTCCCCCCTGCCCCCAAGTGCCAAATCCATTACCGGTCCCCGCAGGTGCCAAATATGCTGACAAACTCTTTTCAAATTTCTTTGCAGTTTCCCCCCTTTTACTTTATATTGCTGTAAATCTTTGTAATGAATAATCTAACAACAAAAAAAAAAAGATATAGACGACTGAATTGTTGGTAACCATAGTGTAGTCCAGTGAAGATGAATTGTGAGTTGTATATTTTACTGCATTTAGTTTTGGAATTGACTTTTTCATAAAGTAGCTAACCGAGATCTGGCTTCCTGGGGAATGAAATGCACAGCGAGAGTAAGAGTGAGCTGTCCCGCCAACCTCTTGTTGCGTTAATGACGGAGAACGTTAATGAAGGAGAACTAATATCCCTCCAGGTCTCCCCCCCGGCGAAGCAGAATAGTAAGTCTTCGAATTTTGAGTAGCAAATCTATACAATTAACACATTTTTATATGGGAAAAAAAAAGAAGAAAAAAAAATTTACAAACTGAAATATGCATCAGGCTAAATATTCAGTCTAGATTAAACTCGACGGGGAAATTTCCTAATAGAAATTCAGGGTCATAAACGTGTGTATATTTTTGACTCTTCTGTAAATCGAATGTTGTGATTTTTATATTTGTTCTGTTACGTCTGTGGAACTGAATAATTTATACCAGTACATGCTCCATGGAGAAATGTTCCGGTTTTTGCCCGTTTGTATCGTCTGTGTATAACAAGTAAAATAAACCTGGCAAAACGTTAACGGTCGTGTCGGGGAGCCCTTTAGCCATTCTCCAAGCCCGAAGCGGGGGGAGGCGGCGGGGGAGCG